GGAATGCTCATTCTTCTCTTGGTCTTTACTCTCCGGCCTCAGGAAGCTGTGGTTAGAACCACCCACCCACCACTCCATCTCCCCACCACTCCCTATCCCCCACCCCAACGACCACCCACTTATCACCACCAGCCCAATCCCTACCACCTCCATCCCTCACCCCACCCACCACCCATCCACCACCACCCACTACCACCCCATCACCCCACCACTCCCTATCCCGCAGCCCACCCACCACCCACCCATCACCAACACCCTACCATCCCACCAACCCCAACCACCCCCAGCCACCCACACTCCCTTGCTCCCTATAGTCATCATGAGACACCAAGATTTCCACCTGTAAAATGTAGCCTGGAATCACACTTGGCTTCCCACCCTCCTCATTTTTACTGGTGCAAGCCTCATGCCTGGTGATACTATCTCTGATGTGAAATATTTATTACAAGTTTATTCTCTAATTTTTGTGACGAGTCCAATTATAGTTTGATAAAATTTTCCCCCTATCCTTTTATTTTCCAAGTCAAGGTTCAGTGTCCTGCATTCATTGTCATTTAGTGACTAGACCCTTCAAAGGCTGTACCGGGCAGGGCCAGGGCTCAAAATGTCTGTTTCTTTATCCTCTGGTATATTTTAGCCATCTACTTTTTGCCAAACTCTTTTTTCTAAACTCTGTCTGTTTAGCACTTAAATTAATCAAAATCAAAGCAGGTCCCGTACTCTTGGAATTTACATATTGGGTTTTGTATCTTAGCTTGAACTCTGGATCCAGCATTTTCGAGTTTATGCTCTTTGACAGTCCACTTAGCTTCAAGCTTCTGTTGCTTTATTGGAGTTAGTGTGGAGGATATAACACAGAACAGCCAAGCTCTAGAGAGGGACAGAGATTAGGTGGTTTGTCCAATAAAGCAAATATTAGCTCTTCTGCGCCTCTTCTTTATTTCACTTATGTATTGTCTTTCTTTTCCTGAACCTTGTCTTCCTCATTTCCACCCTGCGCATCGGCATTACTTTGTGTTTTATTTAATCCCTGCTACCTTCTCTCATTTATTATAATACACATTTTTTATATTTGCTTTACCTTTTTTACTTTCAATACTTGTCAAAAGAAACGTATTCTTACTTTAAAAGGAAGAACTGAAAATGCTAGCAGATTATAAAGTTCCTGCAATATAAAGAGCCTACAATTGAGCTCGACCTGTGGTATCCCAGGAACACCCCTAAACTCCGGGAATCCTAGACCCTGTACCCTTAGGGCTTACCTGCTCAGGTAGGAAGCCAGGCGCCATTCAGATGCAGCTGCTAGGGCAGTGCAGGTCTGGGGCCCCAGAGGATCTTTAGAGGTATCCCAGACAGCATCCAACCTAGAACAGATATGTATGCCATCTTCATCAGATCTTTCTTACATTCCTTTCCTGAATGACTTCAGGAAAGTGAACCTCAATACTTTATTTTTCCATATTTAATAGACTCAAATCTAAATTTTTCTTTTCACTGCCCTTATATAATTTTTAAAGGCATATATATATATATGTATGTGTGTGTGTGTGTGTCTTTACCTAATGACACACCTTCCTGAACTGTGCTAAAATATAGGCAATCTTCCAGTCATTTCTATTACAGATGTCAGCGTTGCTAACATCCCTCCAGCATTTATAATTATGTAAACACTCTCTGTGTATAGACCAACCAAATGCCAAATATAATGAACCATGACTTTCTCTTTTCTTAAAGCATTATAGGGTTGCCATCATTCTAACTGTCATCGTTACCTGACCAGGCTGACTTATAGTAAAGCTTTGTTTCCTTTAGGATGTATCTCTTTATTAATACTCAACTCAGCTTTACCTGAGGAGTGCTGACATTATAGACAGCAGATTCACACGCAGCTCTAAGTGAAATCATATTTATGCTTGAGATTGAGTACAGTGCTATGTGACTAATTGTCATTAAAATTAATCAAAACTGATCAACCAACAAAACATCCTCCAGGTCCAGAGTCAAAAGCAGAGTTTAAAGCCTATAATTACTTAGCTCCATAATCATTCTAATAAAAATACTGACACTGTATTATATATGAACAAGCTCATTATATATATGTGTGTGTGTGTTATACCATTTATATATGTGTTATTTATATTCATATATATTTATTTATATGTATATATGCTATGTTATTTAAAATCTGAGCATTTGTTATGAGATGTGTAATAAAAGCATCACACTGTATAAAAGTATTATCTAAGTTCTTTGAAAATGTTGACTTCCTTAATAAGAATTTTGAATACTTATTTTTCATTCCCAAATGAGTCATATTCAGTTGAATTAAATATAAAAATTATATAAATACTGAAAAACTCTTTCTTAAAAATTTTAGCAGAGTCTCTAACATCCCAGATCACCTCATAATAGCCAAACATCAGTGCTTATGTTACTATAAAAAGAAAATGAATATTTTTGCATCATCATGTGTATAAAACTTAGAAAAATGAGATAAGTCTTTATTCATAAGTAGCACCATGTTGACCCAAAGCTGCAGGATCTCCACAACACAGGAAACAACAGGATATCCAAGTATCCAAGAGGAGTCCTAGTGAGGGCCCAGCGTCAGCAGTGTAGTGGAAGCCAGAGACCTTGAACCAGACCAATGACTCTCTGCAATAAACACTTGCAAGTGAAAACATGTGGGCAAAAGGGTTTACTATGTGACTCACTGCGTTACACTGAAGCTTCCATGATGAAATTTTTAATTTTTCCCCTTTTTTGCTTGATTTTGCCCTTCTTTTTATCTTTTTGCTCTTAAATTTTGCTTTATTTGGAGGAGGGGGAGTACAGGGTTGTAGAACAGATGAAAAGGGATGAGGAAATGAATAGGATCAAGATACATGATACAAAAGACACATAGAATAAATCTGAAAACTAAAAATTGACTGGAGAAAATAAGAAATACGTTTTAAGCCTAAGTGTGTAATATTGGATTAATAAAGCAAAAAGCACGTGAACATGTGCACAGGTGAGTTCCTTCCATACATGTGTTTACTGTCTTTTTAGAAGGCTATAGATATTTCAGCAACAAAAATACACTTTAGGATTCAATAATTTGTTAAAATAGTTGCTTTTTGGATTTTAAGATTCTTCTTTAATGAGAAATAGAAATAGGAAATAATAACAATAGCAATTATTACAATGTTTACAAAGAGTTTTAATTTTTCAGTATTCCTATGACTCTTCTTGAAGCTCATAAAATTAAAATAATATAGTCACAATTTGTTTCTTAACTATTTTATATGCAGTAATTTTTAATGAAGCAACTAAATTAGGCATAACTTACTGCGGCTGTAATGTAGTTATGATGAATATATTTTACTTGATTAAAAATGATAAAAACCAAGGAGCCTTAAATATTATCTTAAAAGATTAACTACTGTGTCAATTAAAAATCTAGGAGAAAGGTATTTATGAGGAATAGCTGTCCTGAATAGTAACTTCCTTTTATTCATCTCATTTAATTAATGAATCATCATTGACTTTTTCCACAAAATGTTCCCAAATTGCACATTGGCTTGCAAATGGAAAGGCACCCAGAAGCTGTATTAGTTGAACACTGGTGAAGTGTCAAGAAACAATCCATTTCTTATTGGAGCAGCAACTAGTTGACAGTGTACAGTGTACAGAGGACTGAACAACCCCCTGTGCTACAACATGCTTTGTCTTACAGGAAGTACAATGATTAAACTGATAAAAAAAATCATTATTATTTCCATTGGGAGTGCTACTGAGTCCTGTCTCCATGCTTTCTAACTGAACAATTGAGTGAACTTTTGCACTTCCAGCCTTGTGATGACAGATTAACCAAATTCTTAAAGCAGCCCCTAGCTGCACAGAAGGAAATCATCGATGTAATGCATCTGTATGATGGGTTTTCTTCATCTACAAAAAAGAGAGCTGTTCAAAGGTACAGTTTTGATAAGTGTGTGTGTCATTTTTTAGACTGCAAGTAAACTGTCATAGGTGGCAAATTTCATCTAAGGAATGCGAGTAGCATGAACAGTGTCAAGCTCCCCTAAAAATGTGTCTCTGAAGAGTCACTAGCCACGTGCCTTGCTCTTTAAGCCTTCACCAACTGAGAAGAGCCACACTGCCTTGCTTTCTAGTCTGGGCTCTTTGCCAAGTGACCTACCACTAAAGTGACCAAAAAGCCAAATGAGTCTGTCCTTAAGTCCTGCAACCAGAGGTCAGAGGATTTCCAAATGCTAAAGAAGTCCGTGTCCTTGACAAAAGAACCTGAAACTCCTGGGGAGGGAGCTTGAAGCAGCAGAGAGGCAGAGAGGAGGGAGGGAAAGGAAGGGAGAGATTGAGGACTGGAGATTAGTCAATTGGAGTTAGACTGAATGAGGAGAGGGGGGCATTTGAATAGTCTCTAAAAGAAGCTGCACGGAGCTAGAGGGGTGTGGTTTTGTAGTCTACCTCTAAAGGCTTAAAGCGTCCTGACACAGTAAACCCCTGCCAGAGGAGGAGCGGACGCTATGGAAAAGAGATTCTGCAAAGCGCTTTTGGAAATACAAAACTCTCCAAGGGCTGTGTGAGAGAGGGACAGTGGGTGCAGCCAGGCGGGTCCTGCCAGTTCTTGTCTCCAAAGAATCGGTCAGTCAGTGTCCCTTTCTAACTACTGGAGTCAGAAGTGAACGTCACTCGCAGATCTGCCTCACTCCTAGGCACGCTACACCCGGTCCAGATCGGACTCCAGTTCGGACCCCAGTTAGAACCATCTCTAATTCCTAGTCTGGGTCCCCACAGCCTGGGACACCAGAATCCCTAGCCCCGCCTCCTGTCCTCAAGCGCGTCCCCTCCCCCGCCTTCCCATCCTTTCCACGAACTGCAGGACGCTGATTGGCCATGGTGCTGACAGGAGGCGGGGTCAGGAAGTACGGCCAAACCCGCCCTCGCGTATAAGCCTCTTCTGCGCTCGCTCTCTCCACCTCTCTCCTCTTTCTCTCTCGCTCCCTTCCTCTCTGCAACTGAACAGTGAAAATTCACATTGTGGATCCGCTAACAGGCACAGATGTCATGTGAAAGCGCACATGCTCTGCCATCCACACCGCCTTTCTTTCTTTTCTGTTTCCTTTTTTTCCCCTTGATCGTTCTCACTCTTCTTTGTAACTAACAAAACGACCACCAACTCCTCCTCCTGCGGCTGCCCTTCTCCTCCTCAGTCCAAGTGATCACAAAAGAAATCTCCGAGCCCGAGGCGGTGGCATTTTTTTAATAGCAAGCACACTGGAGAGAAAGAAAAAAGAAACAAACAAACAAACAAACAAAAGCAAAACAAAACCCAGGCACCAGCCAGCCAGGACATTTTTTTTCCACCCTGCCTGAAAACAAACAAACAGCCATCAAAAACAGTCATCAGCAACAACATCAAAACTGTTAGCATAGCGGCGGCGGCCACCGTCACGCTGTGGCCACGACGTCTGCCTAAAGGGATGCTTCTCTCGGCGGATCAGCTCTTCGCCGATCGCCTTCTTTCCTCGTGCTGAGCAGGATTTTTGGGTTCTCTGGGGTTCGGGCTGGGAGCTTCATGACTACGAGGAGCAGGACAGCGGCCACACCATGCGAGGTAAGAGAGTGCACGGGCGTCCAGGGTCCCCGGGGCCAGCCAACTCTAGCCAGACCCGGAGCTGGGGGGAGGGGAGAGCGCTTGGCCCAAGGGAAGAGAGACTGGCTACGCGCAGCTCCCCGAGTTCGGTTCGCAGGTGGGACTACAAATGGCCTGAGCTTGGAAAGTTGTGGGAAGGTGTGGAAGGTTCGGGACTTCGGCAGAACGCGGGAGGGCGCTTTTTGGAGACCGGGACAGAGCTAGTCGCTTCTCTCAGTACTGGATTTGCTCAGAATCTTTTCTGCGCGTCTCTCTCGGGTGCGCCACAGGACACAGGAAAGCAGGAAACTGAATGACAGGGTAGAGGCAGCTGGAAGATCGGGTCACTCCATGGTCCCTGGCCAGAGGTGAATAAGTGGGCGCAAGGGGGATAGCACTGGGCCAAGGTGCCAGACGCGGGAGCATCCCAGATTACAGGCGCGTCCCTTCTCAGCAATAGGAAACACGGGATGCTCCCGGAAACTGGACACAGATGCCTATGGCTGGACCTTCCCTAGGTCCCCTGTTCCCTTTCTGCTTCACTCTGGTTGGGCCCATCCTCAGAAAGAGTTGCTAGGAGAAAAGTTCAGGAGACTAAAGGCCGCGCTATTCAGGTCAGAGAAATCAGGGGGTCGGACTAATTTGTGAGATAAAGGACCATGGTGGGAGCTAGTGCTAAGCGTGCCTTCTGTCCAGGACCACTGCCACCAGGGGTGGTGCGACCTCAGGGCAAAAAAGATACTCCCCAAGTGGCCCGCGGGGATGATGGAGGCGAGTCCCCTGCTCTGACTACCTGAATAGCTGGCCAGGGGTCTTGAAGAGTCGGTTTGTAGATCTCCTCTCCTGTGGCACAAGTTTCTTGTGCTCTGTGTTCCGGACCCCTCTCACTTTACAGCAGGACACAACTTCCCTCTTAAAAAAAAAAATACCAGATGCCCCCTCCTGACTTGGATATCTGTATATGTCTGAATAACCAGCCCAAACATCCAAGTGTCCCTTCCTTGATGCATTGTATTCCTATGGGGACTTTTTTTCTCTGATTCACAAGTCCCTCCAGATCCTCAAACCTGAAATAGGCAACAATCAAGTCTCTGGACCTTCCTACATCCTAGATGGAAGTGCTCTCAGCAGGACACATTTGGAATAGGGCCCACAAATACCAAACCCACCAGGCTGTCTGTTCCCATGCACTGACCCTACTCCCTAAAGAGGGGAGTAGCCATGACCCTCATTCTGAAGGAACCCTAGGCCTGCCTTGACCTCAAAGGCTTACAAATGCAGGGGCCACCGCCTTGGACCCTGGGCTGTGTAAGGCAGAAGGAAAGGGGATGAAGAGAAGTTGCCTATTACCCATGGGGATAGGACTCCAGATAGGGGGACAAAGATGTCTTGGTTAGCGGCTTGACTGACCCGCGCACTGGAAGTTAGGATCTCTGTGTGCTTGGGAGCAGTGACAACAGCTGATTGTCCCAGTCACGGAATGGTCACATGCTCCACTATCCAAATTCTTTCAAGAAACTGTACTACAGGAATTGGCGGGGAGAGCGCCTTTACTTCGTGAGAAACTGGATATTTGTTTACCTTTTTCTGCCCCACCTCCCCTTCTCACGCACTTTCCTTTCGGTTTCCTTCGCTCTTAACTGAAGCTGCAGGTCAGAGGCTTGGCTTTTTCTCCCCTCCCAACAATCTCCCTCCCCCGTGGCTAGGTTCAAGCTACCTGAGGGTCAGAAACCACGTGCCACCGCAGGTGGTCCCCTGTACTAATCCGGTAGCCGAGCTGCAGACCTCCTAAACATCAAAGGGTAGAGCGCAGATTCACTGCCTTCACCTTGGTCCTGCTGCTTCTCGGCCAGGTTCCCTTAGGAGACCCCTGCCTCACAGAATTTAAGGGCTGGTCCCGGTGTACACCTTAGAAATTCAGTGTGAACCCACATCTTTGTCTCAGAGAACATCAGGCTCACCAAGCCGCCCAGGACGATATACCAGGTCTAATCCAAGATGACCCCCGAGGCAGCCTGAAGGGAAGTTGGTAAAGAAAAAGTCAGGGATGTCTCTAGCCCTTTTACCTCTCTTCTTTTGATCTCTTACTGTCCCATTCGCATTCCCTTCAGTCAATGCCTTGTCCCATCCCATCCTCGACTGCTGATCATTAAAGATAAAATAAGAAGCCCTTTGGAGGTCCGATGCCAAGTATTCCCATAGGGAGGGGAGTGTAGAATGAGGCTACCCAGAAGTCGTTTAATAGTTGAACTTGTGTGTCGATTTAGAGGTGAGACAGAAGAATCAAATCCTCTTTCCCTTGTGCAGGGCTGCTAAGTAGAAACCACTGGAACAGGCTCTGCTGGGGGAGGAGCTGCCAGAAAACTTGGCTTTGCCTTTTGCCTGTGAGCATGCCATCTACCCCAGACACCATGCCCTGCCCCACCACACACACTGTCTCCATTCCCAAGTGGTCCTGTCAGAGCTTTGGCTCCAAGGTTTGCTTCTGGCAATGTCAACTGTCCTGAGTCAGGTCGATTTGCCAGACACAAACGGTGGCAGTGTCTAAGACTGAGGAGTCTCCCTGTGGGTCAGTCCTGCAATCTGCCCCCAGATCAGACTACACCGCCCAGGTGTGCTAGGGGTATTTGAGAGTATATCTGGGGAAGTTCTAGCGTGAGTGGTGTGTTGAGAGGCTCTGATTCTTGAATTCATTGTCCTGCCCTGCAGCACAGCCTATCTAACCAGAATCCAATTCCAGTCATAGTCTCCTGCCTCCTAAATTGGAAGAGGCGGCAGCTTGATGGTGCACAAAACTTTGCACCCTTTGTCTGTGGGAGAGCATCCTATGAGTTCTACGGATGCTCTTCTTGCTTCTTGAAAGGAAACTTCTAGAAAGAGGGAGATCCTTAGGCAGCAAAGGAGTGAGGCAACCCGGTGTGGTTTTTCAAGGCTCCTTGTTGAGCAGTCTGTCCGTTGTTTATTGCAAACGATACCTAAATGGTGGTTTTTCCCTCCTACTCCTGCATAAAATTCCCCCTTTCCCAAGCAGAAGCAGAACACAGCTGCCATTGGGATTCATAGGTGACTGCAACTTGGAGGATTTAACTCTAATTTTATTCTTTTTGTAAACAAGGAGGGGTCTTGTCTTTTTTTTAACTCTGGATTTTATCAAGTACAAGTAATAAATTTCTATTGCTTGCTAAAGTTTTAAAAAATTTAGCTTGCTTTCTGAGATGCAGCCACCTTTGAAAGCATAAAGGATCTGAATATTCTTAGGTTTTTTTCTTAATCAAATCTTTGCTCTAAATTGTCTCCATAAGTTCCAATTAAATGACTTAAGTTAAATATTTCTAACCAATATTCCACCTTCCACATTAAAAAAAAAACTAGCTGAAAGGATAGCCCTGCCAATCCTCCGTTTATTTCTGCCCACTCTGAAATCACCAATGAGCTGTCGTTCTAACAAGAAAATCAATCACTCAACAGTTTAAAGAAAAATGTTAAAGTGCTGTTTCAAGTACTGTGGGAAAATATATAGCCAAAAAATCCTAAAATTTGCCCTTAAAGGCTAATAAGTACATCCACCCACCTTGCTCCTCCCTCGACAGTCACAGTGAATTGTTAACTATTGGGATACAGAAGTGTTAGGAATATTGGTGATGAAGATGAGGTATGGGTCCACTGTAGATTTTAGATTTAAAAAAAATGGTAAATGTACAGGTGGAAATTTTGAGTATCAGGCTTCATAAACTAGGATGGTAAAATTATAAGTCTTTTGTTTGCACTCATCTACAACTTGTAATTCTTGTATTTTCCATTAGTGACAATAACCTCTGATCAGTGGAAAACCCTTCACGGTATTCTCGTCTATCACTGTCAAAGTGGGTTTGCGTGATAGTATAGCATCAATAACTTACCATGCTATGTTCTTAACCAAATATAAATATTAATGTTAATATTTATTCATCTTGGTACTGTGTCAAATATTAAATGCTTAAAAAAATTCAACAACTACCCATAGGTGTATTTGCACAGATTATTCTTTAAATTTAAGTGTTTCCAAATAACAAAATATGATTTTAGAACAACAAAAGGTATCAAGGCACTAAGAAATTATAGAGAATTAGAGTATCCAAGCCTTGTAAAAGAAAAAAAAAGAAAGAAAAATACTGTTTTTCTAAAACTAGCACGACAGTATTGAATACAGGTTGTTTCTCTACATAAGGTGACAAATGTTTTAAGCTTTGACTTCTCATATTTTAAGGGTGTATTCGCCTTTTGGGAAGATAAGACAAACTGTAAAGTTCTACATTTTATTGCAACAGTTCTTAGGAGTGCAAATGTGACTTGCAGCATACTAATTAGTTTATTTACATTCATAAAGTATCTCGAATTTAAGGTGAATATTGCAGCTTTTGATAAATAAAAAGTTTTAAATGAATCTAGTAAAGTAGTACATGAGGCTGCTGTGATACTGAAATTTTACAAAGTATGAGTTTAAATTATGCGTGGTGACATCAGTGCCACTGTGCATTGGCAAAATCTGTGACTTGCAGTTAAGCATATCAGGAAGTAAGAATAGTAACATCGAACTGAAGAGTTCAAGTTCTGTCCAGTTGAAAATAAATGTTCATGAGTTTGCACGTTGTGAGCACAAAGTAACTGAAATAATATTTATCATTCTAGTAGTACAAGCAGAGAGTCTCAATGTTGAGCCATCCCTATGACTACTCCACAAATCCAAAAAGTAATAGCTTTTAATTATATTGGCATTAAGTTAGTTAATGTTACTAAAATATTATTTTATGTCAAAATATATAGAGAAGTAGAAATGAGAGAAGAAATTATGCTTAAAATTAAATATATATCTTCCTCTAGATATAGTTCTACTCTCCATCCTTTCTTATCTAATGAGTAAAAATTAAGCCAACTAATGAAATAAGTCCTTAATGATGTAATGAATTATGGCCTTTGATAAAATGAGCACTCTACATAAAAAG